ATTATGGTTCAAACACGCCAGGGCAGAAAACTCTGTGAGACTTTTATCTTCAATTAACTACCAAAATAGCTGGAAATGGAACTGTGGCTCATGCGGTAGAACATAGACTCGAGCAATAAAAAAGCTCAGAACTGAGGCTGGGAATATGGCTTAGTGGTACAGTGCTTGCCTAGTATGCTTGAAGCCCTGGGTTCAATTCCTCAGTACCACTTATAAACAGAAAAGGCCAGAAGTGGTGCTGTGGCTCAAGTGGTAGAGTGCTAACCTTGAGCAAAAGCAGCTCAGGGACAGCACCCAGGTTCTGAGTCCAAGCCCCAGGACTGGCAAAAAATAAATAAGTTAGGAAGGTTTTTTTTTTTTTTTTTAGGGACTCCACTGCACTGTTGGTGGGAATGTAAACTAGTACAACTACTCTGAAAGATGGCATGGAAATTTCTCAAAAAAATTAATCTTAAAGCCGGGCACCAGTGGCTCACATCTGTATTCCTAACTACTCAGGAGGCTGAGATCTGAGGATGGCACTTCAAAGCCAGCCCAGGCAGGAAAGGCTGAGACACCAATAAACTACTCAGAAAAAGGCAGAAGTGGCCTTGTGGCTCAAGTGTTACAGGGCTAGCCTTGAACACAGGCTCAGGAACAGAGCCTAGGCCCTGAGTTCAGGCCCCATGACTGGAAAAAAAAAATTAGAATTACACTATGACCCAGCCATACCACTCTTGGACAACTACCCAGAACATTAAGTCAGGATACCAAAAAGACACTTGCACATCCATGTTTATTGCTGCACTATTCACAACAGCTAAGTTATGGAACAGCCTAAGATGCCCTACAATAGATGAGTGGGTTAAAAAAAGTGGTACCTGGGGGGGAGGGGGAATGGGAGGGGAATGTAGTTGTGGAGATGGGAGGGAAGGGATGGGAGGGGAAAAACAAAGGAGGAGGCAACAATGCTTGGTGGGAAATGTGGTCACTCATTACCTTGCTCATGTGATTATAACCCCTCTGTACAGTGTTTTCACAATGGAAAACTTATTAAAAATCTTATTAAAAAACTTATTAAAATATCAAACTTTAAAAAAAATGGTACCTATTACAATGGCATTTTACTCCTCCATTATAAAGAGTAAGCTTATGTCATTTGCAGGGACATGGGTGGACCTAGAATTAATTATGTTAAATGAAATAAGCCAGGCTCGGATAGAGAAATGGCACATTTTCCTCTCATATGTGGGAGCTAGATCTAAATCCCAACCAGGAATGATAATATATACAGGTCTCAGCGTATTTACATACAAACTGACTAAAGGAGGGCAGACTTAGTGTAGGAATCCAAAGGTGTAACGCCTCTAAACAATTAAAGTACTATTTATCAAAACTAATACCAGGAGCTGGGCACCAGTGCTCATGCCTGTAATCTTAGCTACTGAGGAGGCTGAGATGTGAGGATTGAGGTTCAAAGCCAGAGAAGCAAGAACAACTGTGTGACTCTTTGAAAGGATCCTTCACATCCATCCCAGGGGACCATGCAGAGGCAGGCATGCACAGGAGAGATTATCAGAAGGTTTATTAGAGGAGTCATATTTCCCTGGGAGAGGGAGCACATGGCACCCTTCACTATCCAGGTAGCAGGAGGGTGTGGGGGTAGAAAGTGAGGTAGGTAGGAGCTCAGGTGGGTCTGGGTGGAGAGAGGGAAGGGCCCGCTGTATGGCGAGAACTCCAGAGCTGGGAGGAGTTCAGGTCTGGATGGAGCTGAGGACCAAAGGTGGGCGTAATGCTTACACTCTGCATCTCTAATTTACCACCACAGTAGCTGGAAATGGAGTTATGGCTCAAGTTGTAGAGCACTAGTCTTGAGTGAAAAAGCTCAGGACAGTGCTCTGACTGGCACAGACAAATGAGTATCAGGAAGTGGAAGCATGTTTTGGGGGGGTGGGCAAGGGGGGCACAGAAATGGAAGGGTGAATAAATGTAATCATTATATTCAATGTTTATTATGTAAAAAATGAACTATGTGCTGGGTGCCAGTGGCTCACACTTGCAATCCTAGCTACTGAGGAGGCTGAGATCTGAGGATACTGGTTCAAAGCAGCCTGCGCAAGAAAGTCCATGAGACTCTTATCTCCAATTAACAACCAGAAAACTGGAAGTAGAGCTGTGGCTCAAAGTGTTAGAACACTAGCCTTGAGTGAAAATGCTCAGGGACAGTGCCCAGGTCCTAAATTCAAGCCTCATGACCAATTGAAAAACAAAACAAAAACCCTGAAAAACTATGTAACTTGAGGGTAGAGACAGGCAGGAAATATGGGAGAGAACGAAGGGGCAACATTCATTACGAAGCACTGTAGGGCTGGGAAGGTGGTAGAGTGGCTCAATGGTAGAGTGCTTGCCTTGCATGCATGAGGCTGAGTTTGATTCCTCAGCAGCACATAAGCAGGAAAATCCAGAAGTGGTGCTGTGGCTTAAGTGATAGAGCACTAGCCTTCAGCTGAAGAGCTGAGGGACAGTGCCCAGAACCAGAGTTCAGGCTCCACAACCGACAAAAAAAAAAAGCATTGTATTAAAAAACAAAAAGCATTGTATTCAACCTGTAACCTCTTTATACTACTTAACAGGTTTTTTTAAAAAAGTCAACAGTTGGTGACTCATGCCTGTAATCCTACTTAGGAGTCTGAGATCTGAAGATTAAGATTCAAAGCCAGCCCTGACAGGAAAGTCTGTGAAACTCTCCAATTAACCAGAAAAAAAGGCCAGAAGTGGAGCTGTGACTCAAATGGTAAAGAACTAACAAGCCTTGAGCTGAGAAAGCTAAGGGACAGAGCTCAGGCCTTCAGTTCAAGCCTCAGTATTGAAAGAAAGAAGAAAAGGGAAAAGAAAAAGGAAAAAGAACTCGCAGTCAGGCGCCGGTGGCTGATGCCTGTTAATCCTAGCTACTCAGGAGGCTGAGATCTCAGGATCACAGTTCAAAGCCAGCCTGTGCAGGAAATGTCCGTGAGACTCTTATCTCCAATAACCACCAGAAGAGTGGAAGTGGCACTTTGGCTCAGATGGTAGAGTGCTTGCCTTGAGCTGAAGAGCTGAGGGACAGTGCTCAGGCCCAGAGTTCAAGCCCCACAACTGAAAAAAAAAAAAAGTGAAGTGGCGGGGTGGCTCATGTGGTAGCATGTTCACCTTGAGCTGAAGAGCTGAGGGACGGCACCCAGGCCGAGTTCAAGCCCCACGACCGACAAAAAAAAATTAAAAAAGAAACCTCTCACCTTTCCTCTGCCTGGAAACCCTCAGAGAGGAACTGGCACATTGAGAGGGTCCAGTGATCTCAGCTCACCTCACTTAGCAGGCAAGGGTACAGTTTATGAAAACTATATACATATACTTTTTTTTTTCCTTTTTGTCAGTTGTGGGGTCTGAACTCTGGGCCTGGGCGCGCTCCCTCAGCTCTTCTGCTCAAGGCGAGCGCTCTACCACTTGAGCCACAGTGCCATTTCCAGCTTTTTCTGCTTATGTAGTGCTGAGGACCATTCCTCATGCATGCAAGGCATGCACTCTACCAGAGCCACCTTCCCAGCCCATACATATCATTTTCTACTTTACATTTTATTTATTGTTGGTTGTAGGGCTTGAACTCAGGGCCTAGGTGCTGTCCTGAAGCTCTTTTTGCTCAAGGCTAGTTGCTCTACCACTTTGAGCCATAGCACCACTTTATATATTTTATATAAATAATATAAACTAGGGTTTGAACACTGGACCTCCCACTTGCTAGGTGCACTGTTGTGCCCATTTTAACTTTGTTATTTTGCACACAAGTTTTCATGTATTTTGTGTGTGTGTGTGCTGGTTCTAGGTCTTAAACTCAGGACTTGGACACTGACCCAGAGCTTTATTGCCCCAAACTAGCACTCTACCACTTGTGCCACAGCTCCACTTCCAGGTTGGTTTTTGTTTTGTTTTTTTGGTGCTTAATTGGAGATAAGTCACAAACTTTCCTTCTCTGGATGGCTTCAATCTGTGATCTCAGCTCTCAGCCCTGGAAGTAGCTAGGATTATAGGTGTAAGCCACCAGCACTCCACTTGGTCCCATGTTTTTTGCCTGGGGCCAGCCTCAGGCCTAGATACTCCAACCTACTGCCTCATGCATAGCAGCAAACAGATGAGCCACACCTGGCTTGGGTGTGAGATTTGGGGGGGGGAGGTCCAGGAGGGGGGGTCTTGCTAACTTTTTGCTCAGTCTGGCTTAGAACTGAGATCCTCTTGCTCTCTGCCACCAGAATAGCTATTACAGGCTTGAGCTGCTGCCCCAGGCTGAACATGAATTTTGTGTGTATGTGTGTGTCCGTTGTGGGGCCTGAACTCTGGGCCTGAGCGTTGTCCTTTAGCTCTTCTGCTCAAGGCTAGTGCTCTATCACTTGAGCCACAGCGCCACTTCTGGCTTTTTTCTTTTTTGCTTATGTAGTGCTGAGGAATCCAACCCAGGGCCTCATGCATGCAAGGCAAGCACTCTACCACTGAGCCACCTTCCCAGCCCTCAATGAGACTCTTATCTCTAACTAACCCCCTGAAAACCAGAAGTAGGACAGTGGCTCAAAGTGTAGAGCATTAGCCTTGAACAAAAACACTCAGGGACAGCGCCCAGGCTCTGAGTTCAAGTCCCAGAACAAAACAATAACAACAAAACCCAAACAAGCAGGGTACCCAGTGACTCACACCTGTAATCCTAGCTACTCGGGAGAAGGAGATCTGATTATCACAGCTGGAAACTAGCTTTGGCAAGAAGGTCCTAGAGACTCATCTTCAATAAACTGCTCAGAAAAAGCTAGAAGTGGCGCTGTGGCTCCAGTGGTAAGAGTGCTAGCCTTGAGGGGAAAAAAAAAAAAAGCTTAGTGACAGCGCCCAGGCCCAGAGTTCAAGCCCCAGGAATGGGACAGAATAAAAACAGCCAAAAAACCTTGTTTTGTTTCCTACTCTCCCTAGTCAGGTAGACACAGAATTACACAGGGAGAGGTGGTGGGGGCGGTATTTTTTATTGTATAGCAGGAGGAACATCCTCCCCTGGGGACCAAGAAGAGGCAATTTCTCTGTCCTCAATCCAGAGTCCTATGGGCTTTTCTTACATGGATGTGAGGGGGGGGAGGGCACCTCCAGGCCAGAACCCAGAATAAGAACTGCCATCCCGCAAGTGCACCACGGGGGGCCTGGCTTAGTCTTGAGGGGAGTCGGTGGAGAAGGGGACCCAGTTTGGCCTGCATCACTTGGGTGTGACCCTGAAGACCCGGATGTGGATAGCCGAGTTGTTGCGGATCCGGGTCAGCGGCTCTCGCGCATCAGACTCCGGTTCCAGCTCATCCACGAGTTCCACGGTGGAGGTATTGGCGGCCACCTGCAAGGACCCGAAGCTGCCGGCCTGCAGCTGCAGGGCGATGTTGATGGCACGGTTGATGGCCAGGCCCAGCCCGTGGATGTAGATTTCCGTGCACGCGTTCGGGCCCCGCGCCCCTCCGTCCAGCAGTTTCTGACAGCGGGCCAGCTGGGCCTTAAAGTCAGTCTTCATGTTGACGTATATGTCGTTGGGCCGACGGGGCAGGCGGTGAGGAAGGCGTTTCCTCAGGGTGTATTCCACCGGGTCCAGCTCGGCCTCCGCGGGCCCGCGGGGCTCTCGGTTTTCCGCCATGCCGTGGGGCCTGGCACCGAAAAGGGACGAGACTCAAGGGGGCAGCCTGGCGGCTGGGCCTCCTCTGGGCTCCCTCCCACCCCCGCCGCCATCGTCCTCCTTCCTCACCCCCAGCTCTCGCTCATTCGCCCCTCCCTGTCCCTCCACCGCCCCTTTCCCCGGCTACCCAGCACCCACCCTCTCCGGTGCGCCGTGCCTGGGCTCCGTGCGCACGCAGCCGTCTCCGCCAGGCCCCTCACGGCCGGGGCCGAGCCGCCCAAGCGAAGGCTGCGGTCCTCGGCCGGGCCTCGAAGGTGGGGAGAAGAGGGGTTCCGCCGCAGGCACCCCCCGGACCACGGCTGCAACCCCGGCAGCGCAGTGCGCACGCGCGCCCGGCCGCTGCGCAGCGCATTCAGGCCACCGCGGTCCGGCTATCGCCTTCCGGGCTTCCGTTCGTCCGTCGCTTTCTTAGGTGCTCGCGAGATTTGCGCAAGCCAAGGCGAAGTTAGCGCCGCGAGGGTTCCGGCGGTGACGTGATCGACACGTGCACGCCTCTAGGGGGTGTGGCTACATGGCAAGGAGGGCGGGGCTAAGTGATGTGGGCGTGGATGAATGAAGCGGAATGGGCGTGGTCGTTGGAGGGAGGGGCCTATGCAGCTGGGCCAATCCAAGCTCAGCGCGGGAACGGTTGCGGAAGGGAGGGACCAGGCGGGAAGCTAATTTTGAGGGGACTTGGAGGACTGTGGAAGTGGAGTAGGGTGATATAGCGATCGTGCTGGGGACCCTTAAAAGGAGGTCAGATCTCTGAGCCTACTGCAGCTGCCTGGACAGGGCTGACTTCCAGCCCAAGATTGCAGTAGCCCAAGAACTGAGTGGGACCATCCAGATGAAGGCCAGATCCCCACCTAGGACTAAGGAGTACTCTAAGAGGCACTTAGTTCAGGGGAACCCACCCCCGGGACAACCCCTGGACCAGGGACATGTGTCCCCTGCGGGGAAGGCTGAGGCCTCACTCGCAAGGGGCCGTTGTATTGGCCTTTGGGACCCGGAGTGGCACATGCATTCCATCTTAACACTCCCATCCTGCCACGGAGCTGTGAATGTCTAACTTGACCAAAGGTTGGAAATAGAACTTCACTCTCAGCACCGCCTTCATCCTTTAGTTTCCTCTTCCTTCACTTCAGATTCTTATTGACAACTTTGGGGGTTCTTTTTTAGGGGGGGTTCTTTTGAGATGAGATGGAACAATTCGACATAATAGGGGTATCGGTCCACAGGCTTAAGGGGATTCTTTTGGAAAAGTATGCACAAATTCATCCTCAAATTTATTATGGAAAGGCAAAAGCTAAAACGATTTTAAAATAGTTGTCGGTTTTAGGGCAACTACCTGACTTTTAAATGTATGAAGTGGAGGTATGGCTCAAGTGATAGAGCACCAGCCTCAAAGTGAGAAATCCTGAGTAGAAGCCCCAGTATCCATACACTGGAGGTGTGTGTGTGGGGGAACTATATATGTAATAATTAGGGCCCAGATGCATTGGTTCACTAATATTGGCTACAGGAGAGAGAGAGATAAGAGATGTGAAATTCCAGTCTGAAGTCAGCCACAGCAAAATTAAGATATCCTATCTAAAAAATAACCTAAAAGAGCTAGGTGCTGGTGGCTCACACCTGTAATCCTAGCTACTCAGGAGGCTGAGATCTGAAGACCACGGTGCAAAGCCAGCCCAGGCAGGGAAGTCTGAGAGACTCTTATCTCCAATAAACCACTAGAAAACCGGAAGTGGCACTGTGGCTCAAGCGTACAGTGTTCTCCTTGAGCTGAAGAGTTGGACAGCACCCAGGCCCAGAGTTCAAGCCCCACCAACGACCCAAAAAAAACCCTAAAAACAAAATAGGTTTGAAAAGTGGCTCAAGTGACTGAGTGCTTGACCACAGGACCATCAAAATATAAAAATCGGCAAAGTATAAAATGAGTATCACTGGTTTATTTCTATAATCCCAGCGACTCTGGAAACTGGAGATCTGAAGGATCCAGTTTCAAAACCAGCCCATGTAGAAAAGTCTGAGCCTCCATCTCCAAAATAACTAGCAAAAAAGTAAGGGTAAGCTGGGTGCTGGTGGCTCACGCCTGTAATCCTAGCTACTCAGGAGGCTGAGATCTGAAGATTTGCAGTTCAAAACCAGCCAGAGCAGGAAAGTGTCTGAGACTCTTAATCTTCAATTATATACCAGAAAACTGGAAGTGGTGCTGTGGCTCGTGGTAGAGCGCTTGCCTTGAGCAAAAAAGCTCAGGGACAGTGTCCAGGCCCAGAATTCAAGCCCCACGACTGACAAAAAATTAATAAGTAAAAAAAAATAAATAAGGCTAGAAGTACAGATCAAGTGATAGCCAGCTAACTAAGTAATCTTGGGCCTTTGTGATGAAATCCCAGTACAGCCCCCCAAAAGGGCTTTATTGGAGCCAGGTTCTGGTGGTGCTCACACCTATAATCCTAGTTACTCAGGAGGCTGAGATCTGAGGATTTCAGTTCAAAGCTAGCCCAGGCAGGAAAGTCTGTGACACTATCTCCTATTAACCACCAGAAAACTGGAAGCTAGCCTTAAGTGAAAGAGCTCAGGTACAGTACCCAGGCCCTGAATTCAAGCCCCATGACTGACAAAAGAAAAAAAAAGTATATTATTGGCAGAGACAGGTAAAGTACACAGCCCAGAAACACAAGCACAATAAACTTATTTTCCTTTTGTGCCAATACTAGGGCTTGAACTCAGGGCCTAAGCACCATCCTTGGCTTTTTCACTTAAAACTGGCTGGCACTCTACCACTTGAGCCACTGCTCCACTCTGGCTTTTTGCTGGTTAATTGGAGATAAGTGTCTTCTAGATACTTCTAGATAGCTGGGCGCCTGTAGCTCACACCTGTAATCCTAGCTACTCAGGAGGCTGAGATCTGAGGATCACAGTTCAAAGCCACCCCGGGCATGAAAGTCCGTGAAACTCTTATCTCCAATAAACCACCAGAAAACCGGAAGTGGCGCTGTAGCTCAAGTGGTAGAGCGCTTGTCTTGAGCTGAAGAGCTAAGGGACAGCGCTCAGGCCCTATAACCAAAAAAAAAAAAAAAGTATAGATACTTCTAGACACTTCTAGACTACCTGAGCTGGTAAGCTGGTCTCAACTCTCAATCCTCAGATCTGTCAGCCTCTTGTGTAGCTAGAATTACAGGTGTAAGCCACAAGTGCTGGGCTAGCCAGTCCTGGGCTTGAACTCAGACCCTTGGCACTATCCTGAAGCTTTTTTGCTCTAGGATAGTGCACTACCACTTAAGCCACAACTATACTTCCAACGAGATGCTTTTTGGAGATTAATTGGAGATAAGAGTCTCACAGACTTTCCCACCCTGGCTGGCTGCAAACTATTGATCCTCAGATCTCAGCCTCTTGAATAGCTAGACTTATAGATGTTAGCATAGTTACCTGGCTCATGATGATTTTTTGTCGTTGTTGTTGTAGGTCGTGGGGCTTGAACTCTCAGCCTGGGTGTTGTATATCAGCTCTTCAGCTCATGGTGAGCACTCTAACACTTGAACCATAGCAATACTTTCTGGTAGGTTAGTAGAGAGAAGAATCTCATGGACTTTCCTGTCTGGGCTGGCTTTGAACAGTGATCCTCAGATCTCAGCCTCCTGAGTAGCTAGGATTACGGGTGTGAGCCACTGGCTCCTGGTTTGAAATAACACTTTAAGTAGAACAAGAACTGAAGCTGAATAATACAAGCGTATGGTAGATATGAATCTAAAATCTGGAACCATAAGACATGAAGATGAGCCAGGTGTTGGTGGCTTAGGCCTGTAATCATAGCTAATCAGGAGGCTTAGATGTGAGCAAACCCCAAGCAACACTGCCTCCTGCAAGGCAGGTGCATTTTGTCCCAGCTAGACCAAATCCTACTAGGTAGGTTATATCTGACTTGTTCATTGCTCATTGGTGACACTGCTAGTGGAATGTAATTAATTTTAATGTCTGATTATTAACAACACACAGATTATGAATTTTCACTACTGAGAGTGTGTATGTGTGTATGTTTATAGGTAAAGAACTTTTTGTTGTTTGGGGTTTTTTGGTGTAGGTCCTGGAGCTTGAACTCAGGGCCTGGATGCTATCCCTGAGATTTTTTTGCTCATGGATAGGACTGTGCTCCACTGCTTGAACCACAGCTCCTCTACCAGTTTTTCAGTGATTTTTTTGTTAGTTGTGGGACTTGAACTCTGGGCCTGAGTGCTGTCCCTGACCTCTTCAGCTCAAGGCAAGTGCTCTTCCACTTGAGCCACAGCGCCACTTCTGGTTTTCTGGTGGTTAACTGGAGATAAGAGTCTCACGGACTTTCCTGCCCATGCTGGCTTTGAACCTTGATCCTTAGATCTCAGCCTCCTGAGTAGTTAAGATTACAGGTGTGAGCCATGACCACAAGGATGTTTTATTTATTTTTAAATTTAAGTAGTTGTACAATTCAGCAAGTTAGATTGTGAGTAAAATGTGTCTAAAGCATCTTATGAAGATGTTTTGCAGCCAGGCGCTGGTGGCTCACACCTGTAATGCTAGCTACTCAGGAGGTTGAGATCTGAGGATTGAGGTTCAAAGCCAGCCTGAGCAAGAAAGTCCATGAGACTCTTTTTTTTTTTTTTTTTTTGTCGGTTGTGGGGATTGAACTCTGGGCCTGGGCGCTGTCCTTCAGCTCTTCAGTTCAAGGCGAGCGCTCTACCACTTGAGCTACAGTGCCACTTGCAGTTTTCTGGTGGTTTATTGGAGATAGGAGTCTCACAGTCTCTCCTGCCAGGGCTGGCTTTGAACCATGATCCTCAGATCTCAGCCTCCTAAGTAGCTAGGATTACAGGCGTGAGCCACCAGCGCCCGGCTTCCATGAGACTCTTATCTCTAATAAACCACCAATAAACTGGAAGTGGCCCTGTAGCTCCAGTAGTAGAGCGCTAGTCTTGAGCTGAATAGCTGAGGGACAGCGCCCAGGCCCAGAATTCAAGCCCCACGACATGGCATTAAAAAAAAAAAAATTTGTCAAACTTTTCTTTCTTAAAATTCTGGAGTTTGGGGGCTGGGAAGGTGGCTCAGTGGTAGAGTGCTTGCCTTGCATGCATGAGGCCCTGGGTTTGATTCCTCAGCACCACATAAGCAAAAAGAAAAAGGCCGGAAGTGGTGTTGTGGCTCAAGAGGTATAGCGATAGCCTTGAGCTGAAGAGCTGAGGGACAGCGCCCAGGCCCAGAGTTCAGGCCCCACGACTGGACCCCCCCCCCAAAAAAAAAAGAATTCTGGAGTTTGAAGTTATGGCCTGGGGCTTGTTTGGCAAGCACTCAACCACTTCAGTAAGCTACACCCCAGCCATAAAAACTTAGTTATGCAAATACATAAGTTTTGACACTTAGTTATTTGATAAAGGCTCATTACTGAACAATTGAGTTTAAGATAGTCTTATCTCTTGACTTAAAAAACAACTAGCAGAACCTGACATTAAAGTGGGGGGGGGGGGGGGAGAGAAACTGAGGGTGTGGCTCAAGTGGTAGTGCAAGGCCAGAGTTTTAACCACAAAACCAGTAAAAGATTAAAAAAAAAAGGGGTGGGGAACAGGACACTAGAATCACCCCTGTAATACTAGCTACTCTGGAGATTGAGACCTGGAGGATGGGGAGATTTAACGCTGGGGGAGGGGGGTATTGGGGGAATGCAGAAAAGTCTGCAAGACTCCAACGAACCAGCAAAAGCAGCTGGACTAGAGATGTGGCTCAAGTGGTAGAGCACCAGGCTACCAAGGGCAAAAAAATCTGAGTTCAAACTCCAGTACCACTGGAAAAAAAAGTTAAATGAACTAAGAACCCCAGTAAACCCCCCAAAATAAATAGCTTTTTTTCCCCTTTGTCAGTAGGGGGGCTTGAACTCTGGGCCTGGGAGCTATCCCTGAGTTCTTCAGCTCAAGGCCAGTGCTCTACCACTTGAACCACAGCACCACTTCTGGTTTTCTGGTGGTTAGAGATAAAGGGTCTAATAGCCTTTCCTGCCCGGGCTGGCTTTGAACCTCGATCCTCAGGTCTCAGCCTCCTGAGTAGCTACGATTACAGGCGTGAGCAACAAAAGCTTTTGAGTCAGGAAAAGAAGCTGTCATGAGCTTATAGACTATTCTAGAAGTGTTATGTGACTAAAACTTCAATTTTACTGACTTAAGTGGTGCTGGGAGTTGAATTCAGGGTCTCACTGGTCCTAGGCCAGCAGCGGAAGCTGCAGTTACACCCTAGTCTCCGATGCATTTTTCTCTGTGTGTGCAATTATTGGAGCCTGACCTCAAGGCCTTGCTCTGTCCGTTTTTCCTCTCGAGGCTGAGGCTCTAACCCCTTGAACCACAGCTCCACTTACGGCTTTTGGCTGGTTCACCGGAGACAAGGGTCTCCTAGACTTTTACTTCCCGGGCTGGCTCCGAGCCGGGATCGCAGCCTCCTCAGCCCAGTTGGGAGTGAGCTCATGGCGCTCGGTTTCCAGTTGGGAAGTTTTGTCTCCGGCAACCTGGGCGGACTCCCGGGAGGCGGCGGGCTGGCGGGCAGGGCCCGCGGGGAGCTCGGCCAGGGCCGCGGCCGGCGCGCGCAGGTCCTCCCCCCCCCTCCTCCCCCGCCCCGGCTCCCTCCACGCCTCCCCTGGAAGTCCCGGACACCGCTAGGGCGCGGGGCGTCACGTGTCCGCCGAGGTCACGTGGTGCCGGCTGGAGGGGGCGGGGCGGGGAGGCCGAGCCTCTCGGGCACGCGCCTGGCCGGGCGTGCGGCCGGAGCGCGGCGGCGGCGGCGGCGTTGGAGGGGGCGGCCCCGCGTCCGCGTCACGTGGTACAAGGCGGGCAGCCATCTTGCTACAAACACAAACACAGAGGAGCGGCCGCCGCGGGAGCGCCAGCGCCCCCTCCCCTCCCCCCGCCGCCGCCGCCGCCGCCGCCGCCGCCGCCGCCGCTCCCCCTCCTCCTCCTCCTCCTCCTCGCCTTCCTCCTCCTCCTCCTCCTCCTCCTCCTCCTCCTCCTCCTCTCCCTCCTCTCTCCTGGCCCGCCGCGCGCCGCTCGCCGCTGCCACCGCCACCACAGCCACCACCACCAACGCCCGGGACCGGACCCTCGCGCCGTCCCCCCCGCGGTAAGCGCTGCCCCCGCACCCCGCCCCGGAGCGGGCCCGGCCCCGCGGCGCGGCCCCCGCCTCCCCGCCGGCCGGGCCTCGCGGCCCCGGCGCCCCCGCCCCGCGCACCTGGCGCCCCCTGAAGGGCGCGCCGTCCTCCGGCCCGCGCCCTCCACCCCCGAGCCCCAACGGTCGCCCCTTTGGGGGGGGGTCCCTTCCACGCCCGCCGGGCACCCTCGACCCCGGCGCCCTCCCCGCCCCGCACGCTTCGGGGCTGGGGTCCCCCCTCGCGCCGTGCGTGCGCGCCCCGCGCGCTCCTCCCCCCCAGGACCCCCAATGGGGTCCCCCCCCCCCTCAACGTGCCGCCGCGTCCGAAGCGGAACGAGTTGGGCCTTGCAAATCGCACCAGCTCTTGGACCAACATGGAAGCTGCCCCTGGGTCCCCGTGCACCCCGCCTGGACTGTGCATCTGCGTCTCCTGCCTTACACGCGATCACCTTAGTGCTTGGTCATGGGGGGGGGGGAGGTCCCCCCTTCTTTTCCCCTCCTCTGCCGGTTGTCCAGCTGCGCGAAACACTTGCCTTACACGGGCTGTTGCCCCGTCTGTCAGCATGCCCCAGGCCCTTCCCACCTCCGGCCCCCTGATGCACCCCTGGCCCCCCGTACACTTCATTGCGTTTCTGTAATGTTATTTTGCAAGAAACTTGAAAGAGAGCTGTATTTACCTTTCTTCTTTCACCAAGTCCTTACTAGAGTTCCCAGTCAACTTCCACATCTGTTTCTTCCCAGTGCCCAGCACTGGGAGACGCTAAATAAATTCTTCTTGGCTGGTTCTTTCCACGCAGGCCAGTCTCAAGTTCACTTCTTGCTTTTCGTACACCACCACACAGCCTCCTTATGCCAGCTTCCATTCAGCTCCACCTCCCCAACCCCTACCTGAACCCAGTAAAATGATTACAATTTGTAGAGTTGGGCCTCAGCCACCCACCTTACCTACCTCTCCATCTAATGCAACTATGCAACTCCAGGATATCCATAGTTCTACCGTGCGTGTGTGTGTGTGTGTGTGTGTGTGTGTGTGTGTGTTTGCGTGTTTGCATATGCGTGCACACATAGCTACAGGTACTGGGGCCTGAACTCAAGACCCGGGTGCTGTCCTTTAGATTTTTCAGTCAAAGGCTGGTGCGCTATCACTTGACCCACAACTCCACTTCTTGGCTTTTTGGTGCTTATTGGTAAGAGTCTCTTGGACTTTTGTGCACAGACTGGTTTCAAACTGAAATCCTTAGCTTTCTGAGTAGTAAGGATTTAGGTATGAGCCACCAGCACCCCAGCATGGTTCCACATTTTACTTTCTATAGTGTAGGAATTCGGTCTTGGTCCTCTTGTTGGGAAGGGCTCCAGGCTGCTCTGGATTTGGTTTTTCTGTCATTGCCTAGCAGAGTCTGAGTCTGGTGGGTCCCAGATGGTAATTACAGTCAGGTGGTTTGTGTGCTCGATTGCTGGACTGCTTTTGTCAGCCTGGGGACACATTTGTATTGTCATTTGATGCACTAGGATCCCCCTGTTTGTTCTTGCATGGACTCTGGTTGGAGTTTGGGATGGTAGCTCCCACTTTAGAGAAGAGGCAACTACGTGAAAGACTGAACAAGTCTTAAGTTAAAATAGGGGTCTTCTAATTCATACAGAATCTTCTCCAGGCTTAGTGTTGGCACAGGGACTCTTGTGGGGAGCTTCAGTCTGCCTTTCTAGTTTTCCTTCACTAGAGCCCAGGCTGGGTACATGAGTGCAAGGGATCAAATGAAATAAAGTCTGAAAGTGCTTTGAAGACTGGACTAGTCCACAGTCACCAAGAGGTGGGTGGTGTTCGTCCTCGAGGCAGTGCAGGGGGGAGGAGATGTTGGGGGAACCTCAGAACCTGCAGCTTTTTTTTTTTTTTTTTTTGGTGTTGTAGGGCTTGAACTGGGGTGTGTGTGTGTGTGAAGGAATCCTGGGTATTGCCCCTGAGCTTTTTTTTTTTTTTTTTTTTTTTTGGTCGGTCGTGGGGCTTGAACTCTGGGCCTGGGCGCTGTCCCTGTGCTCTTAAGCTCAAGGTGAGAGCTCTACCACTTGAGCTACAGCACTACTTTTGGTTTTTTGGTGGTTTATTGGAGATAAGCGTCTCATGGGCTTTCCTTGTCTGGGCTGGCTTTGAACCATGATCCTCAGATCTCAGTCTCCTGAGTAGTTAGGATTACAGGCGTGAGCCACCGGTGCCCGGCTGTCCCTGAGCTTTTTTGTGCTCAAGACTAACACTCTACCACTTTGAGCAACAGCTCCACGTCTGGCTTTTGTGGCAGTTGATTGGAATTAAAGAGTCTCAGGGACTTTCCTGCCCGGGCTGGCTTCAAAGAGCAATCCTTAGATCTCAGCCTCCTGAGTAGGTAGGATTACAACCATGAACCACTGGCACCTGGCATGCCTATAGCTCTTCTGATCAAGCCTCACAATCCTCCTGTCTTTCCATACTGGGACAGGGTCAAATCACCTCTCCGCACTTGTCCCAAATCTTGGGTCATTTTGGACTCTGCCTCTGTTAACATTGCTCCAGATGGGGACCAATTTTAGGGGTGTAGAGTCAGGAATTCATGCTCTGAACTTAGTGTTGGACCACTTATTTTATATGTTTCCCTTCAGACAGTTTCTGAATCCAGCTAACAGGCTCCCTGTCCCTTATGATTATCCCTCAAGCCATTTGGGACCTTGCTGGACCAGCTATTCCTGCTCCCCTTGTCTCCGGCAGGGGGCAGTCTTTTAATAGTTCTGGTGCAAGGGGAGGGGGGCAGAGGTGAGGGGGCCAAGCTGAGGCAGAGCTAGGAGACAAGCTGGGTGGCCCTGGCAGACAGGAGGTGAGAGGAAAGGACACCATCCTTAGTCCTGGCTTGTCTTCATTGCAGGGTGACCAAATGCCAGGCCTTGAGGGTACTTGATGCATGAACGTCAGACCATTGCTATTGTGGGTTGTGAGTTTTTGGTTTTTAATCTGTTTTCTCAGGGATTTCCCTCTGGCAGGACAGCAGACTCTCCTGGGATGGTGTAATTGGAAAAGAAGTGTGTGTTGGTTTCTCTTGCTCTCTGATAAATGCTGAAGAGGGTTTGTGTTACATGGGCTTGTGGAGAAAGGATGGATCTTGGTCTTGGTGCTATGGACATCTACCAGTGGCAGTTCTCTGCCCAGTTGTAAACAGCTATTGTCAAAATGCCCCTTGGGAACAGGATCACCTCTCCCTTTTAACAGCTCCTGGCTTTGAAGTGGTATGTGGACCAGGGCACCCCTGTCAACAGGGCTTGCCTGGTCCCTTCAGTCTGAGGAAGAGGCTAGGCGACCCCTAGCTCCTGTCCCCAGAACATCTGTGGCTGAGTCCAGAACTTTATTTCATGTTGTCTCCCCAAGAAGAGGGGAGCCTGGGCTTTTCTGCCTTCTCTCCTGGTGCCTATCCCCTGCCTCTGCCATGTCCCTGCTCCTCTGCTTGTTTCTTCCTCGTTGAGGGAGAGGAGGGAGTGTCACCCCTTCCATTCCCACCCCTTTCACCCAAGCAGCCTCCCATGCCTGCAGGTCTAGTATGTCCCACCAAGTGAGCAGAGGAGACCTAAACGGCTGTCACAAAGTCTTGTAATGGAAGAAAGGGCCTTTGCAGTGTTTAGGGTGGGAAGAGTTGAGGTATGAAGTGCTTCTCCCCAAATACCTTCCTCCTGTGAGCATGTCTGTTGAGGGTGTATGGAGTCCAGAGCTCCACTGAGTTTGCACTCAGAGCCTGGTGCTTGCAATCACCCCTTTTTTTGCTTCAGTTGTTTTTTCAACAGGGTCTTGGGATTTTCCCCAGGGCTAGCCTTAGATTATGATCCTCCTATATTCACCTCAAAGCTGGACTTTCAGGCATGGATCACCATACTAGCTTGTTGATGGGGATGGAGACCTTGCTAACTTTTTACCTGGATTGGCCTGGAACCAAGATCCTTCTGAACTTTTGTCTTCTCAGTAGCTGGGATTACAGATATGTGCTCCCACCACTCTGATCCCTTAGAAATTATGGTCATAAAATGTATTGCTTCAGCTATTTTCCATTTCCAGAAGTTTTTCCTTGTCTTTGACCTATGCATCACCTCCCGTCCCTACCTCACCTTGCTGCCTCTGTAAATAGCATCCTTTAGAGGTAGTTTGGGGTGTGTGTTGTGACATCACACCCTTCACTGGTCAGATCCCAGGTTTACTTTAAGAACATGAGCCCTGTTCTGTGGCCATGGAGGCCTTGGTGAATGCAGTGGGAAGGGAGCAGTGAGTTTCCCATTGGCACCTCGTGCTGTGTGCTCTGTACAGTTGAGTATCCCCAGTATCTTGTAGATGAGGTGCCCTTACCCTAGTGCCCCGGTGTGGCTCCATTGCCTGTCAGGATTTGCTAATGTTGCAGGTGAGAGCATCTTTCCTAAGCCCTGGTGGAAACCTCTTCTTCCTTCCTTCCAGACTCAGGCGTCTTGGCGTGGACGGCACTGCAGAGGTGCTGCTCCAGCCTCCCCCCCAGCCCTTGACGGACACCTGAGTACCTGGACACTGTCCCTTTCTCCTGTGCTCCTGTCCTTCCCACCTGAATGAGCCTCCTCCCAAGAATCTCCTCCCTTGTTCCTTAGAGGACCCCATCACTGCCATCGCCATTGCCACCACCTCTTTAGGCCCCAGCAACTGACTTGCTTTCTACTTTCTGGTGAGCGAGCTTTCCGATGCTTTCTGGGAGAGTGTCTGTCTGCTATTTTTCACTGGCTTCTTCCCCAGTCCTAGTCCTTGGATGTGCTGTCCAAGCAGCCAGCCAGCCCTGATTTGCTTGTTTTTAAGACAAGTTCTTGCTGTGTAGCCCGGGCAGGCCTCAAGCTCACAGTTCTCCCGCTTTGGCCGCCTAAGCACTTAAATTACAGATGTGTGTTACCATGCCTGGCTCTGGTGTTTTTACTTGAGGAAAGTCATTTAGGTAAATATCCCAGACTTATGCCTAATCCTCAGAACTGACCTTTTCTCTCTGGTAGCTCCAGCACTTTTTCTATGCCAGGAAGGTCCATGCCTGCCTCCGTTGGCCTCCTGACCAGATTCTATGTGCCCTGTCTCTTTCCTTGGTTGGGAGGATGGTGACCTGAGATCTGGCCTAATGTGTCTGGTGTGAGTGCTCTAGACCTGTCCGGCTGTGCAGGACAGTGGCGGGGATTAACTGCCCCCTTCTTCTCCCCAAGGATCTTCCCCAGATGTGAAGGTTCCTCCCCAGCGCTGCTGAGGCTGGACCAGTAGCCAGTGTCCTGGGCCCTAGGTTTACCCCAGCAGCAGCACCTGCCTGAAGAGACTCTGGCCCTCGCTCTTCCCGGGTGAGGCCCCAGGTGAGGCTGGCTGCAGGTGAGCGGCACCCTGTGGAGGAGAAGGGGCTTGAGCTTGCCTGCTTCTCCTCTCTGTCTGCCAGATCCCTTGCCTACCTTGGCTCAGCTTCGGCTACCCCGTGGTATGAGAGGCCTTGTGGCTGGCCTCAATGAGCCCTGTGACAGTGTCCACTGAGGTGGGGGATTAGGACGATGGCCAGTCTGCAGAGGCCGTGTCAGCCTCTGCTCCTGTGTCCACAGGTGTTGGGACAGTCGAGGGCTCCCCTCTCCTCACCCCAGCCTCTGGGAAGAACCCCTAGTACCATAATGGCTGCAGAGACACTCAACTTCGGGCCTGAGTGGTGAGTTGGTGCACTGGCTGGGCTGGAGGAGCTAAGGTGAAGAGCAGAGCCCCTCAACTGGTCTCCCTCCCTCCCTCCCTCCTTTCTTCTCCTGCCTCTGTTAGGCTGAGGGCCCTTTCCCGTGGCGGCAGTGTAGCCTCCCCACCCCCATCCCCTGCAATGCCCAAGTACAAGTACAAGCTGGCCGACTACCGCTACGGACGTGAGGAGATGCTGGCTCTCTATGTGAAAGAGAACAAGGTGTGTGGGGGCACAGGGCGGGCTGGGGAGGATGCCTATGCAGCCAGAGGCCCTGAGCATGTGTCCTCTGCCCCACAGGTCCCCGAGGAGCTGCAGGACAAGGAGTTTTCTGCCGTGTTACAGGAGGAGCCACTGCAGCCCCTTGCCCTGGAGCCTCTGACTGAGGAGGAGCAGGTGGGGCAGGCAGGGACTGGAGGTGGGGGCTGAGGCCAGGAAGTTGGGGTCCTCACTCCCATCCCTGGCTCCCTCCTCAGAGAAACTTCTCCCTGTCAGTGAACAGCGTGGCCGTGCTGAGGCTGATGGGGAAAGGGTCCGGGCCCCCCCTGGCCACCACCCCCCGCGGCAGGGGCAGTACACGGAGCCGAGGTAGAGGACTGGGAGTGGGCACTGTTGGGCCTGTGGTGTCAAGGGGGAGATATGACACTGGCAGGTGTCACGTCCAGGCATCCTACCTTTTCCAGGCCGTGGCCGTGGTGACAGTTGCTTTTACCAAAGAAGCATTGAAGAAGGTGAAGGGGCCTTTGGACGGAACCCCAGGGAGATCCAACGAAGCCAGAGCTGGGATGACAGGTGGGGCTTGGAAGGAGGTGGCACAGGTTGGTCAGTGCAAGATGACCAGAGACCTCCTTTAAGCCCTGGCCATTTCCTGGGCCCTGCCTGCCCATTTTCTTGTGATTGTCTTAGAGTTCCCATGATCGGTATACCCCATTGGGACCCTTTACCCCTACCCCGCCTGTCCCTCGGTCACAGTTCTGAAGGGTAGTAGGGAGGAGGCCTGTGTCTGAACAATGCATTTCTCCTACAGAGGTGAGAGACGCTTTGAGAAGTCAGCACGGAGGGATGGAGGTATGAGAGCTATGAGGGTGGTAGTTGGAGGGGGGATGTCTGGGGTGGGTGGCCCTAGGTAGAAACAGGAGGAGCGTGGAGCAGGCTTCTGTCATAATCTCAGGTTCCATTGTAAGAATCTGGTCCATCTTCCCCCCAACCCCCAGCTCGATCTGGCTTTGAAGAGGGAGGGACTGGCTTGAGGAAGGAGCACGCTCGCTCGGATAGCGAGAACTGGCGTTCACTTCGAGAAGAGCAAGAGGAGGAAGAAGAAGGCAGCTGGAGACTTGGGGCAGGACCCCGGAGAGATGGAGATCGCTGGCGCTCCTCCAGCCCTGGTGAGATTGGGCTGAATGGGGTTCAGAAAGTATCCTATGTATGGGCCCCCCATTATAAGAAGAAGAGGGCAGAAGGCTCCTGGGGTGGGCCTGAGTGAGAGAAGTCCTGGGTGGTTCTTGGGGAGCTTCTGGCTGGACAGGAAGCTGATTTTCCCTCCCCAACTTTGCCTCTAGATGGTGGCCCTCGCTCTGCTGGCTGGCGGGAACATGGGCGGCGCAAGTTTGATTTTGATTTGCGAGGGGAGAGAGGAGGGTGTGGTGAAGAGGACGGGCGGGGTGGGGGAGGCAGCTCTCACCTCCGGAGGTGCCGAGGGCCTGATGGCTTTGATGATGACAAGGATGGGCTCCCGGAGTGGTGCCTGGATGATGAGGACGAGGAGATGGGCACCTTCGATGCCTCTGGGGCCTTCCTGTCTCTCAAGGTATCTGTGCAGTCCCAGGGAGAGCTGGACAGAGGTCGGTGGGAGCCCGTCTGGGTTCCCTGTTCCCCTCCCACCATGAGCTGTCCACCTCTTCCCACACAGAAGGGCCCCAAGGAGTCCATTCCTGAGGAGCAGGAGCTTGACTTCCAGGGCTTGGAGGAGGAGGAGGAAGAGCCTTCGGAAGGGCTGGATGGAGAGGTACCTGAGGCAGGTAAGGCTGCACAGCCAGCCCAAGAGCCTTAGTCTGGGGCTAGGAGGCCCTGGGTTGTGTCGCTGGGCTTGTATTGGCTGCCCACCTACCTGTAAGTTTTGGCTGCTTAGAAACATGGCGCGGAGCACATGGTTAGATGAGGGGAGGAACCTAGAGCAGCAGAGCAGAGCAGCAGGTGAGAAGCCAGCTTGATCAGTATGACCTTTGAAACCCCCTTGCTCTGAAGCCTGGGTGGCACTCCCCTGGCCTGCACATAGCTCTGTGTGATGTTGCAAGACCCACTGATGTCCCACAGCATGGGGCCGTCATGGGGGAGAGCCAGCGTCACTCAGTTTTCAGCTTCATTGCTTGAGCTACAGTTAAAAGGGTAGATACAGGCCTGGGAATGTGGCTTAGTGGTAGAGTGCTTGCCTAGCATGCATGAAACTCTGGGTTCGATTCCGCAGTACCACCACATAAACAGAAAAGGCCAGAAGTGGCACTGTGGCTCGTGTGATAGAGCCTTGAGCAAAAAGAGGCTTAGAGACAGTGCCCAGGCCTTGAGTTCATCAAGCCCTAGGACTGGCAAAAAAAAAAAAGTTCATGAACAATGTCCAGGCCCTGAGTTCAAGCCCTGGGACCTCCCCCCCCCCCAAAAAAAAAAAAAAAATATGCACTGCTAGCACTCAGGTGGCAGCTTTGGGGAGGTCTGCGCCTTGTGCTCTTTTTGCTTGGCTTTTTTTACTCATGAGTGCCACTCCACCACTTGAGCCACAGCTCCATGTCTAGCTTTTTACTGTTAATAGGAGAAAAGAGTCTCATGGACTTTTTCTGCCAGGGCTGACTTTGAACTACAGTTCCTAGATCTCACTTTGAACTACAGTTCCTAGATCTCAGCTTCCAGAGTAGTTAGGATTATAGATTTGAGCTACTTGTGCTTGCTCTAGTTTTTCTACTAGTAATTGTAGATAGAACACTTTGGAACTTTTCTTCTCAAGCTGGCTGTGAGCCATCCTCAGATTTTAGCTAGGGTTAGGTGCTTAGCTGTTGTTGTTGTTGTTGTTTTTCAGTCCTGGGGCTTGAATTCAGGGCCTGGGCACTGTCCCTGAACCAGTCTGTGCTCAAGGCTTAGAACTCTACCACTTGAGCTGTCGCTCAAGTGGTAGAGTGCTAGCCTTGAGCTGAAGAGCTGAGGGACAGCACTCAGGCCCAGAGTTCAGGCCACACGGCTGACCAAAAAAAAAAAAGAACTCTACCACTTGAGCCATAGCGCCCCTTCTGTCTTTTTCTGCTTATGTGGTACTGAGGAATCAAACCCAGGGCTTTGTGCATGCAGGGCAAGCACTCTACCACTAAGCCACATTCCAAGCACTATTGGTTTGTTTTCATATGCAGTACTAAGGTTTAAACTCTGGTCCTTGTGCTTGCTGGGAAAGTTCTCTACCACTTGAATCATGCCTCCAGCCCAGAGTTCATTTTTCAAGTAGGCCCTCACTCACTATGCATTTTACTTTTGTACCTAAGCCAGCTTTGGATCTTCATCTTCCCATCTACACCTCCTGTGTATCACAGGCATCACCTGCCATGACTGGCTTGTTGGTTGAGATAGGCTCTTACTAATCACCCACCACCACCACCACCACCACACACACACACTGGGGTAGCCTTGAACCATGAAACCATGAGCCTCTTATTTTTCATCTCTTAAGTACCTAGGATTATAGGCATGAGCTACTATGCCCAGCCTCCTCCTCTTCAGTTTTGAGTTTTGGAAATTACCCTTCTCTTCCAGGTGGGAAGGAGTTGACCCCTTTGCCTCCTCCAGAGGAGAAGTCTAGCTCTTCATCTCCACTGCCCACCCTTGGCCCCCTCTGGGCAGCAAATGGAGCTGGGGACGAAACTGTAGATAAAGAGCTCCCTGCCAGTGAAGGTAGACGGGTCGTGCATGTGTGTGGCTGCTGTGGTGTTGTATGCTCCCTCCTTGGGTGAGAGGGGCCCTGTCCTTGCCTCCCTGCTCATGTGTCTTCACTCCTAGGAAATGATGTTCCTCTGAGTCCTGGGGTGGGCTCACCCCCTGGGCCACCAGGAGACCTGGAGGATGAGGAAGGCTTGAAGCACCTGCAGCAGGTGGGCTCCTTCAGGGTACAGGGCACCCCTGTCTGTCTGACCCTGCCCCAGGTTCCATACTTGGCACTCTGTTCTCTTGACCCCGGCCTGATGCTGGTGGGGTTGAGAGGCAGCTGAACCTCTCTTTCAGGAGGCGGAGAAGCTGGTGGCCTCGCTGCAGGACAGCTCCCTAGAGGAGGAGCAGTTCACAGCCGCCATGCAGACCCAGGGCCTGCGCCACTGCACGGCCGCCCCTGCCCTGCCCCTCAGCCACGGCGCTGCCCGCAAGTGGTTCTACAAGGACCCCCAGGGGGAGATCCAAGGTAGCCATGGAGGCCAGGGCCACTGGGTCTGGGCCTGTTCAGATGACTGTGGTGGGCCCTTTGATCCCAGTGGTTTTTTTTTTCTTCTATCCCTTACTGCCTTGGTTCAGGCCCCTTCACAACCCAGGAGATGGCAGAGTGGTTCCAGGCTGGCTACTTCTCCATGTCCTTGCTAGTGAAGCGGGGCTGTGACGAGGGTTTTCAGCCTCTGGGAGAGGTGATCAAGATGTGGGGCCGTGTGCCCTTTGGCCCTGGCCCCTCGCCACCCCCACTGCTGGTGAGCTAGGGCCCTGTAGGTTGCAAGGGGATGCGGGTGGCAGCGGACCTGACCCTCTTGCCGTCTGGGTGCTGGGCATGCTCACATGGGCGCTCGTGTCTGCCCAGGGGAGCATGGACCAGGAACGGCTGAAGAAGCAGCAGGAGCTGGCTGCGGCCACCTTGTACCAGCAGCTGCAGCACCAGCACTTGCTTCAGCTTGTCGGCAGGTATGCAGGCTACAGGCCTCGGGTACAGGGCTGGTGGTAAGGTAGTGCAGGTGCTGCCCATGCCCCCTGTGCCCACAGCCGCCAGCTCCCACAGTGTGCACCTCGAGAAAAGGCAGCTATGGGAGACCTGACGCCGCCGCAGCAGCAGCAGCTCACCGCCTTCCTGCAGCAGCTCCAGGCTCTCAAATCCCCCAGGTCTGCGGGTGGTCTCTAGGGGGAGGGGGTGGAGATGAGAAGTGAAGGGTCCAGGCTGCAGTGGCCTGAGTCAGCCTTTGCTCCTCAGAGGTGGAGACCAGAACCTACTCCCGACCATGAGCCGCTCCTTGTCGGTGCCAGATTCCGGCCCCCTCTGGGATTTACATACCTCAGTCTCATCACCCTCGGGTGAGTGGACCCCCCCCACCCCCTCCCCACACAGGGTGAGAGCTGCAGGCCTCAGTGCCCTCTGCAGCTGCCTCTGCCGCACACAGGTGGTGAGACCAGTCTTTGGGACATACCAATTAACTCTTCGACTCAGGGTCCAATTCTAGAACAACTCCAGCTGCAGCATAAAGTAAGTGTGAGGCCAGGGCCCCGGCACGGGCAGGGGGCTGGGTGCAGGCAGTGGGGCCTGGCGCCAAGCCCCTGGCGCTTGCAGTTCCAGGAACGCAGAGAAGCGGAGCTCAGGGCCAAGCGGGAGGAGGAGGAGCGCAAGCGGCGAGAGGAGAAGCGGCGCCAGCAGCAGCAGGAGGAGCAGAAGCGGAGGCAGGAGGAGGAAGAGCTCTTCCGGCGCAAGCAGGCTGGTGTCCCCGCTCTCTCGCTCTCCTGGAGTTAGGCCCACACCAGGGACCAGCAGCCCCCCTCACTCACTGTCTCTTGGCCCAGGTGCGGCAGCAGGAGCTGCTGTTGAAGCTGCTGCAGCAGCAACAGGCGGCAACGGCCCCTGTGCCTGCAGCGCCCGGCTCCCCACCTCCGCCCTGGGCCAGCCTGTCCAAGCAGGGCCTGTCCATGAAGACGCTGCTGGAGCTTCAGCTGGAGGGTGAGCGGCAGCTGCACAAACAGCCCATGGCCCGTGAGTCACTGCGGGCCCAGGCCTCCAACCACCGAGTGGTAAGCTGGACACGACTCCCCTGGCCCTGGGGAACTCCTGGGAAACTTCTGGATTGCCCCTAAGCCAACACTGCATGCTCGTCTGGCTCCCTTCCTCTCTATGCCTTACCTGGCTCTTTTGGGTCTTTTGTTGGAGCCCTCTGACTCACTCTCCCACCTTTTACAGCAACTTGGGGGCCTGGGTACAAACCCCCTGAACCAGTGGGTATCTGAGTCCGGACCACTGTGGGGCGGGCCTGACAAGAGTGGGGGCAGCAGCGGTAGCGGGCTGGGGCTCTGGGAGGACACTCTGAAGAGCAGCGGGAACCTGGCCCGCAGCCTGGGCCTGAAGAACAGCCGGAGCAGCCCATCTCTTGGGTGGGTGCCTGCCTGCGGGGTTGTAGGGCGGGGGAATGGGGGAGTGCGGAGCACTCCCGCTTATCTCTGGCTCCTGTGCCACCCTCAGTGACTCCTACAGCCACTTGTCGGGTAGGCCTGTCCGCAAAAAGACAGAGGACGAGGAGAAGCTGCTGAAGCTGCTGCAGGGGATCCCCAGGCCCCAGGACGGCTTCACCCAGTGGTGTGAGCAGATGTTGCACACCCTGAGTGCTGCGGGCAGCCTGGACGTGCCCATGGCTGTGGCCATCCTCAAGGAAGTAGAATCCCCCTATGATGTCCACGATTATATCCGTTCCTGCCTGGGGGACACGCTGGAAGCCAAAGAATTTGCCAAACAATTCCTGGAGCGGAGAGCCAAGCAGAAAGCCAGCCAGCAGCGGCAGCAGCAACAGCAGCAGGTGAGGTCTGGCGCCCAGAGGAGGGGAAAAGGGCCCTGGGCCCTCTTGATGCACTCTCCTCTCTTAGGAAGCATGGCTGAGCAGCGCCTCCCTGCAGACAGCCTTTCAGGCCAACCACAGCACCAAACTCGGCCCTGGGGAGGGCAGCAAGGCCAAGAGGCGGGCACTGATGCTGCACTCGGACCCCAGCATCTTGGGTGAGTCATGAGGCTGGGCAGGAGCGGAGCTGGGCTTCCCACGCAGGCTACATAGGCTCTGGGGGAGCTGGAACATGCTTCTCCCCTCCTGCAGGCTACGCCCTGCATGGCCCTTCTGGTGAGATCGAGAGCGTGGATGACTACTGACCAGCCAGTCCCACCAGCCCCTGCCTGGGTGAAGGCCGAGGGTGGTAGCGGTGGTGGCGGCGGCAGCAGCAGCAACAGCAGCGGCGGCAGCAGCAGCAGCAGCGTGGATCCTTGGGTCCCCAGCCTGCAGGCTCCCTGTTGGGAGCAGAGGAGGAAGCAGGGGCAGGGTCCCCAGCACTTGTTACAAACCACACGATGCACCTTAACTCACCCACCACGAGGCACTTTACGGATTGGGGGGAAGGAGATTTCCTTTTCTTTTTTTTAAGTGACTGAAGAAAACATTAGGAGAGACAAGTATCCTTTAAGAACTAGACTCTAGCACCCTCCCGCTCGGGGAGAGTGCTACACCGTGGAAGGCCCACAGCAGTCGTTTCGTTTTTGTTTGTTTGTTTTTTTTTTTAAGAAAAGATGAAAAATAATGAGAAAAAAAAAAGGCTGAAAGAGAAAACACACTGTTACTGGGGCTGTGGGGACACAGGCTCCCGGACCTGTCCTGCCCAGCCCCGAGGCTGCACTTACCCTCCTGCCCCTGAACGTGGGCCACTGGGGTAACTGGAAGCTGGGGCCAGCAGTTTGCACAGCACGGCCCCTCGGAGCCCTGCCTGCCGACCCGCTGTGAACAGCCCCCCTCCCGTTGCTGTGACTGTGCAGAGGTGTCCGGAACGGGGGCCAAAGTTGCCCCTTGGCGTCGCTGCTTTGGGGGAAAGTTGCACAAATCGGACAAGCTGCTTCCAGCCCCCTGCCCCCAGCTGCCATTCTGCGCCCGCTGACGGGGAGACGAAAGGGCCTTTCGGTGCCAGCCTTCTGTCAGGCGGAAAGACTCAGGCCTGCTGAGGGACACCCCTCCCCCCCACATACACACTGCTGCCATTTCGGGGGACAGCCTGGGTGACACTGAGAGCCCCAGCTCCCTGCCTTGCCACATGAATGTATCTTCTGGCCCTCAAGCCCTGCCCCAGCCCCTCTGAGGAGTGGGCTGTTCCTTCAGGAGCTAGGGGGCGCTGTGTCTCGCCAAGTCCTTGCTCCTGGGAGGTAGGAAGGTGTTGAAGGCCGGAAATGGGTGGCTAGGGGCTGAGGACTGCAGTGCAGGGGGCTATCCGAAGGGACTCCCACAGTCTGCAGCCAGCCTGTGGGGTGTGGACCCTCTGGGCCCCGTGTCTGACCCCTCTGCTGACCAAATTGGGGAGGTGGCCCTCTCTCCCCTCGGTTTTTAGCAGGGAGGAATGGAGAGAGGCGCCTTGTCTGCCCTGCCTCACGCTGTCCCCTGCCTGTGCTGGGCTCCATCCATTCTCGGTTGTTTTTTTTTTAAAGTCCTCCCCCCACCTTGGGTTTCTCATTGAGCTTCTCCATCGACCTCATTGCTAGAGTGCAGTATTAGCGCAAAGCCGCCACTGCCGCCTCCATGAATGTATTTCCTCCTGCCCCGGGGAGGGGAGGGGAGGGGCCCTAGTTTTTTTCCCCATTGTCCCTGGAGAGATGGCTTTGAGTTTTGTTCATTTTTTTGATTTGTTTTTGGCACCAAAGTGGCAACTGGGTCAGTGTTGGGGGTAAAGCTGGCTCCCAGGTGGAAGGCGTCCACCTGCTCCTCCTGTTTCGACAGTGTTAGCGACTGGGAAAAGACAATGTTCTCTCTAAAGCAATAAGGGGGTGATGGGCCGGGGGAAAGGTCTTGCTGCTGCTGGCCCCCAGCTCTTCCTCCCCTCTTGCCAGTGTGGTGGCATGAGCGGGGTGGGGGAGATGCCTGTTGTGACTGAATGTAACCACCCTGCCCCTGCCGCAGCCAATGCAGGGGAGGGAGGAACTTCCCGTCTCTTCCTGGCCCTTTCCCCCAGCTAGAGAGACTTTGAACTTGGGGGGCCCATGAGCCTGGAGAGGCCTTAACCCCCCCGTGAGGAAGTATAGGGGGAGCCCTCTCCTACCCCATCCCCTCTGAGAGTGGTCAATGTTTACAAGCTCTGAGCCCCCAGCCCAGGGACTCAGACCCCCATTCAATCCTTTCCCCAGTCTTCCTGGGCCCTCGCTGCCCCCCTTCCTGGGGTTTGGGGTGGCACAGGGGTCCTTCTGTATTCCTTTCGCATCCTTGTATTCCGTCTCCCTTGCCCCTGCTACCCTGTGTGATTTCCCCTCTACTTGCCCCTGTAAATACTTGCCCCAATAAAACTTGGTGTGTGTTCTTCATCTGCCTACTGGCTTCTGGGGGTGTGTGGGGGCGTGTGGAGGGGGTAATAGGAATGGGTAGTGCGGCGAAGGGCTGGGAACTGAGGTACTGGGGTGGGGTGCAGCCCAAGGCTTATGCCTATGCAGGAAACACTGGCCCTTGGCAAGGAGGAAGGGGGTCCCTCTGGCCTGCTGCTTTGCTTGGGCAGGCAGCAGAGACTACAAAGACACCGCAAGGGAGGAGAGCCAGGCACAGAGTTGGAATTGGTGGTTCCTTTATGGAAAAACTGAAAATATAATAAAAATTAAAATAAAACCAGTTTTAAAAAAGCCAGCCCCTGGAGTTTCCACCTCCTGCCTCTGGCCCTCCAGAGGGGTGAGGCCCTGACCCCAGGGCAGCAAAGGGAGGGCTTTTTATCCCTCCTTGTCCCCCATTCCATCCCCATCTTTTATCTCCACAGTGGGGGCCCCGGGAGGAACCAAACCTGGGTGGGGGAGCAGGGACCCAAGGCCCTGTGGCCCAGGGAGGGAGGCTCGGTATGCACTCTGCCCCAAAGCTCCCGGCCTGTAGTGTGGGCATGGGCAGGGCCCCTCCCGGCCTGGGCCCAGCTGGGATTGGGGACGTTAGTTCCAGATCTTGAGGAAGGAGTCCCAGGAGCCAGTGGCCACAGCCATTCCATCATCAGTGACCCCAAGGCAGCTCACACGGTTGTCATGGCCAGCGAGGACACCTGGGAGCAAGAGGGACACCAGAATTTGGCTGGCCTGGGCTGCTGACCCCTGCCTTCCAGGCACAGCCCCGCGGTCTCACCTGCGCGGTCGCCCTTCATGGCATCCCAGATGTTGCAATTGAAGTCGTCGTAGCCAGCCAGCAGCAGCCGGCCACTGCGCGAGAAGGCAACGGAGGTGATGCCGCAGATGATGTTGTCGTGTGAGTACATGAGCAGCTCCTGGTCTGCCCGCAGGTCGAACAGGCGGCACGTGGCATCGTCAGAGCCCGTGGTGAAGGCGTAACCATTGGGGAAGAACTGTGTGTGGGGGGAGGTGTGCAAGGAGTTCAGGTCAGGGCCAGATGCAGGGAAGGAACAGGTCAGCCCAGCTCGCCCTCAACTCACAGCCACAGCGTTGATGTCAGACTCGTGACCAATGAAGGTCTGTCGACACATGGAATCTCTGACGTCCCACAGCTTGATGGAGGCGTCACAGGCACCCGACACAAAGGTGCGGCCATCAGGGGCCAGTGACAGGGACATCACATCCCCACTGTGTCCAGCAAAACCCACAGTCTGCTGGCCTGTCTCAATGTCCCACAGGGCACTGGAGAGGGACAGCACAGAGGAATCAGAAATGGGGTGGAGAGCAGATTCCCTAGCTCCCCACCCCTTCTCACCATGTGGGCCAGGCCTCAGGAAGCTAACTCCTGACCCAAGCCAGGCCCTTAGGGGGGAAGGGAGCCCTTTGGTGCCCACCCAGAGGCTCGTGTTCAGGCTGCTTTTTCCCAGGTGCACCATGCCTGCTCAGTGCAGGCCAGCCCACCCAGCCCTGGAAGGGCCTCACCAGGTGGTATCCCCAGAGCTGGTGATGATTTGGTTGTCATCCAAGAAACGGCAGCATGACAGGTACCCTGGGGAAAAGGGCTGGTCAGCCAAGTCTCAGGGAGGTCAGCACTCCCCCAGCCCAGTGCCCTTGCCCAGCCAGACTCCTCTCACCAGTGTGGCCAGGCAGCTCCCGGCTGACCCTGACATTGCCCTCTCGGGTCTTGAGGCTATAGATGGAGCAGATGTTGTCCAAACCCCCACAGGCTACGAAGTTCCCTGAGGGCGCGTAGGCACAGGTCATGACCCAGGAGGAGCGCAGTGGGATGGCATGGACCTGGGGAGGCGAGGTGCGGGCACAGCCAGAGTCAGCCAGAGCCCTGCAGCTTTACACCACCCACCCCAGGTGCCAGCTCTACCTTGTTGGTGGTGTAGCTGTCCCAGATGATAAGCTTCCCGTCCTGGGAGGCGCTGACCAGCAGCCTGGTGGACAGTGGTAGGGGAGAGGCAAAGGGATGAGGGTCTGGATGGAGCCCCCTCATCCACCTAGGAGGAGGCGCTCTGAGCCAATCCCCAGCAGCAGCCCCCAAGTCCCGCAAGTGATCTTTCCCTGGTCCTCTGGGGTTGCCCAGACTTCCTCTGGCAAATTCATGTTGAGCACTTCACCAGCCCTGAGGCTGCCCTCCCTGACCATTAGCCATCATGCCAGAACACAAACGGAACCCGAGCCCTGCTACCCACACACCTTGAGTCTGTCCCCCAGTGCATGGCATAGATTTTTGCCAGGTGCCCACGGAGGGTCCTCCGTGTCCTCATCTGGATTCTCCCCACTGGGTCCAGCCCAGCTGTGATCTGAAGGTGGAGACAGAAGGGGCTCACGTAGACCCTGGCAACCAGGGTCTGTACAGCTATATAGCTGCAGTCTCAAATTCGGCCCCTCCCTCAAGTCCCCAGGCAGCCAGGACCTCCTCACCTGGGTCAGTGTTGAATCCCCACATGCTTTTCTGGCATCCTGTAAGCAATGAATGGCCAGAAAGAAACAGAAACGCAGCCGAGGGGGAGGAGAAGAAAGAGGAAAAGAAAGCAGGAGACAAAGCAGTGGAGAGGGTGAGACACTGAAATTGTCTCCCCGCCCTCAGGGCCCCCAGGCGCCTCACAACGGCAGTGGGCCGCTACAGGCCTGGCCCTGCCGGCCTGGCCTCCCCTCCCCTCCCCGGCCCGGCCCGGCCCCAGGCCCTCACCCGGATCTGGTTCCGGAGCTGCTCGGCCTCTTGTCTCAGTTGCTCCAGCTCACTCATGGCGCCGGGCCCGTGGGGCAGGGTTGGGGGCGGCGGGGGGCCGCGGGACGGGGGCCGGGGGAGGCAGCTCCTGGCCGCTGGCCCGAGGCCTGGGGGGTGCAAGG